CTTTTTCCATTCTTGTAGGCGAAGCATCAGCTGAGATGAACACCACCTCTGTCGATTTATTGTTTAATAAAACATTTATTCTATTTCATGTGAAGTGATTTCAGTTGGGCGGAGCCTGTTTATATCCCACTCACTTCAGACTCCACCTCCAGGATGGTCTCTCCAGCTGACGGCAGCTCCTTCCAGCCAACCACCTCCACCGCAGTACTCGGCCCCGCCTCCCTCACAGCACAGCCGTTCTCATCAAACAGGAAGCGAACTTTAGCCCAGGATTTCCCAGCAACCAGCACGCAGCCTCTCTTTAGCGTCCCCCGCTGGACGATGGATGTCGTGACCGGGCTGGGAAGACCAAACTGGTCACACTGGGCCTGTTTGACTCTTTCATGTTTCCAGTAAACCAGAGTTAGCACTGTGAAGGACTTACCCTTTGCCTTTGTCGGTCCTGCTCTCAATGACGAGTCCCTCCACGGGGCCGGTAGGCTCCGCCTTTAGCTCCAACACCTCTGCCAAAGCTACTGTGGCCTCAGCCAGAGCCAGAAGGTTATCACCCTGACAACGTCATCAATGACATCATTGGTCTACAGCAACAACAGGTCGACTGTAATGATCTCATATTTTAAGGAAGCCATATTAACTGCTTTCATTACTTTACCTTTAACCTGTCTGTTGTACTAACTGACCAATAGGAATGTTCTTTGTGCATTGCATTGTGGGAAAACAACGCGATGTGTTGTTTGATGAGTTCACCTTCAGAGCAGAGATGTGAATCGCCTGAACGTCTCCCCCGAACTCCTCGCAAACAACGTCGTGAGCGAGCAGCTCCTGCTTCACCCTCTGAGGGTCGGCGTGAGGCTTGTCACACTTATTCACCGCCACGATCACGGGGACTGAAACACGGACGAACAGTAGAATCAGCAGTAGAAGAGCATAAAAACAAAATGAATAGAAATCCAGTAAAAGCAGTAGAAACGGGGCGAAGCTTCGCTCTGAGCCCTCGGCTGCGACTGTCAGGTGGAGCTCCCACCTTTGGCTCTCCTGGCATGCTCAATGGACTCCACCGTCTGGTTCATGACGCCATCATCAGCTGCCACCACCAGAACGACGATGTCGGTGGCGTTGGCTCCACGGGCTCTCATGGAGGAGAAGGCGGCATGGCCCGGAGTGTCGAGGAAGGTGATCTTCTCACCTGTCGGCAGCTGGACTGGAAGAAAAGATCCGAGAGCGGGAACGAAGCTTCAGGAAAAAGTTTACTGTCTGTAAACGAGCACAAACCTGCAAACGCTGCTTATTAAAACAACATTCAATAATCGATCAGCAGAGTCTGATGACAGATTTTATGATTTAATTAAATTTTCTTCTGTTTGCTCTTAGTTTGTCTTTAAAAAAAAAAAAAAATCTTGTTTCGTTTCCTGCCGTTGGGTGTTTTTAAATAAAGTTTAGAGTGTGCTGTTACCCAGGAAAGCCCCGATGTGCTGCGTGATGCCTCCGGCCTCTGTGGAGACGATTTGGCTCTTCCTCAAGCTGTCCAGCAGCGTCGTCTTACCGTGGTCCACGTGACCCATGATGGTGACCACCGGGGGCCGTGGCACCAGGAGGGTGGGATCAGCAGGCGGTCTGTGAAGGTTGTAGGTAACGGAGAACCTTATTTTGTTACAAACCACTGAGACGAGTTACATACACGTGATCAGAGACTTCTTGTCACCTCCTGCAGGCGTCCCTGTTGGGTCGCTCTCTGCTCGCGCTCAGTTTGGCCCATCTGAACTTCATCCCTGACCGTGTCACCACCTCTTTAATCCATCGTTCCTCCAGAACCGTGTCCTTTTCCAGAGAGTCCAGATGCACCGACGTGTTCAGCAGAGCCTCCAGCACGTGGTCTGAGATTCAAATAGACCTTTATTTAAAACAGCTTCCAGCCACAGACAGTTTAAAACATCGACGTCGCTCCAGGGTCGGACAAGTAGGCGCACGAGGAGGAGCCTTAAACCGGCATTCTGTCTAACGGCCACCAGGTGGCGGTAAACTCTTGGTCCGTTTTTTGGAGCCAAGACAACGAAGGTCAAACGTTCATCTTGACGCTTCAGCGACCAATGGGAAAGATCAAATAGCTCCGCCCACCTGTATACTGTCTATCATCCTTACCGAAGTTTTTTTTTTTGTTTGTTTTTTTTTTTAAATTGAAAAAGCACAAAATAGAGATATACAAATACAAAATAGCAAACACAATGTCAGGGGGTTCGTATAAAAAAGCAAAACAGACAGTCTATTATAGAATCACATGATATTGAACAGGGAACATAGGTTTATCCTTACCGAAGTCTCTGTTCATGGCTTCAGCGAGTGCAGCCGCCGTCATCCCCTGTCGGATCTCAACTTCCTGTTTGTCCACTTTGGGTTTGACCTTCTGGGTCTTCTGCTCTTTCTTCTGACCTTTGACCTGCAGTTAAAAATTATCTTTATTATGACATGCTTCATTTTTTTCACTAAAATGTTATTTGTACAGACGAAGGAACTGTAATGCTGCGTCTTTGTTAATGAACATCATCAGGAGGAAGAAACTCACATGTTTGAAGGCGAACTTCCTGTTCGGTTGGCACGTGAAGAGAGAGTCGGCGCTCCCGGCACGGCAGAATACGGCCGGAAACGGGAAGTTACTGAACAGAGCTGGGTCTGCGTGCACCAGCCGCCGGGTACCCCGCATCACCGAAGACATCACACTCATAGCAGAAGGGACAGGTGAGCCTAACGTGCGAGAGAGCAAACATCTGCAGGTAAAACGTCATCATCATCATCATCATCGGGAGGCGGTCTCACTGAGACCAGCCATCGATCCTTTCACTCAGGAGTGTGTCTGTTCCTCTCTGTCGGCCTCACAGCCCACAAACTCTGCAGGTAATATACCCGCACACATCCTGACAAGCAGCAGCCAATCAGGCGAGTGTCTGACACACACTGTTTGGGGTATATACAGTTCTATATCCAATATCCTCAGCTGACAGTTTTAAAATACCCACCCTCCACGTGTGGTTGTCCAGTCCTCTGCCTGAAGCATATGAAGTTTACATATTAAACATGGTGAGATGAAAGCTGGATGCAGGTGGTGGACTACTGTTGGATTGTGTGTCCACAGGTGTTTGTACTTTGCGTCGTAATAAAATGACGGTAAAAGGCTCCGCCCACTTCCTATCCAGGTCTTACCATGCAACGACTCTGTGAATGGACTGGAGAAGTGTAGTGGGAGAGTCCTCCGTCAGGAATGAGATATGTGTGTCGACTTTTTATTCTCCCTTAAAATTATTATGCCATAACGCTGCACAGAGCAGCTCTGCTAACAACTACATCTATGCCGAATTAACCCGAGTGCTCTAACACATCAGGAACACATGTTTACATTTTGTTCTAAAACATCTCGGCTCCACAAAGCGTAAAAATGTGTCTTTTGTAAATGAAGTTTGGAGCAGAGTTTACGGACTGACACCGGAGGACTCAGGAGGATAGGTTCGTTAATTCGGGCGCCGAATGTGAAAATGAGACTTAAAAATTCAAACCGATAACGAAGAATCATCGATCCGTGAAAAACATAAAAACTAACAGCTGTTAAACAGCAGTGTTTGTGTAGCTCGGCTGAACTTCCGGCCTGCAGAGGAAGACGCTGATTAAAGAAACGTTTAATCAGAGCCGAACGTGAAAACTGAACCGAGCAGCTCACCTAAAGCCTCAGGTGTCGTTCGTTCACGTGACATTACCTCGCAGGGTTTCTGAGTGACGCTTGGCTCTGCCTGACGTCAAAACCGGAGGACTCTACGTCGGAACTACGGTCAACTCAACCCAGCAGCAGAGCGTCACGGTACCTCAGCAACCCCGACATCCGCCTCCGGTCGTTCTGGTTTTCTCTCTTCACGCTGTCCACTCAGCTCATCGTGAAAAAGTCCTGCGACAGGGAGCCGCCATGACAGCCAGCACACACACCGGAAGCACTTTGGCGTCTTCTGTTAGGTTTGCGTGTTGCTGCCCTCCACAGGTCAGGCAGGTGAACGGAGACAAGGATCAGGACAGCTGCAGACTCACATGTGTCTGCGTTACTATAATAAGACTAACTCACCTGGTGTGCTCTCAGTCAGTTATTCAGGTTATTGTACTCGGCCCTGAAAAGCTTAGAAATATGGTATCTAA